CACGGTTCATTAAAAACTATCCACTATTTAATACTGACAGAATCTCCGCGTGTAAAGTTCCTAAACACGAACTGACAGCATCGAAAAAGTAATAATCGAAATGATCACGATTCATCGCTATGTTTATCCGAACGCCACCGACGTATCATGTCAAAAGTGCATGGACAAGTTTCATGTTGGCGTTTGCCGTTAAAATATACTCCAAAAACAAATCACAAGCCAAACTCAACCCTAGCGCCTATACAATAATAGAAATATTAATGTTGTACAATCCACCTTGCCTGTGCTTATTAATTTTTAGCATTTTCACGCCGCACATTCGATATGACACGTGATTGATGATCGCGACGTTCATTGTCAATCAAACTGTTACTGTAAAAGCATTTACCGAAATGTGAATATTTATGAATCACAAATGTTTGTCCCGTGAAATACGTTAAAATAATAATTCACATTCGGCCGTTTTAATTCCGATAGATGCGATGACAGCTGAAGAGCACGTAATAAACGGATAGTAGGAATCTTTTTGAAACTCGCGTTCAACTGTTCAATCATTCGTGTCGTTTATCATCTTTTTTCGAAACGAAACGAAACTCGTCGCGTCAAACTAGACAGACTATAGATGACGTAAAAAGAAAAACCGCCGTCCCGCCGTAGAAGCTTTCCGAACGTCTTTTTGTTCGTTCAGTTGGTATTGCTCGCGCGTTCGAATTCGAAATTTGAAATTTCCCGCTTAAACGTCGGCCTAATAAATGTTTCCCGACAATTCGCGATTTTTGAAGGGTCACCACATACAACCAAAGAGTCGGGACATAATTTTAAGCTTTAATTAATTAACAGGTAGGCTTAATGTTTCGGTGCAATTTTAATGATCCAATGCAGGTATTCAGTGCGGTGTAGTATAACAAAATGACTGACATTGAGGGGCACTGCAGGTGAATAATGCAAAGATATATAGCCTTAAAGGCTTAATAGATATGAAAGCCATTAGCGAAACTAATTTCATTTAATTAATTTAAGTATAATAAATAGAATTACATATTTTAGGGAGACTAGATACCAAATGTGTTTTAAGGATCCATGTGAACGTAATTCTTTTGAAACTCTTCGCGTTTAACTCTGAGCAAACGGGACGTATCCCGCGAAATCCGGACAGATATTTCCCTTAAACTGTTTGACCACTTTGACAGATCGCCAGCATGAACTCTTTCCGACGTCAAAATGGCGTATTAGGTTTTTTTAGTGAGTTGTCTGTCATCACTTCCTTTGTGATTGAGCACTGCATTGACGCATTGTGCCTCAAATTGATTCTGTTTTGTTACTTTATTGAGCTTTAGACAATCGACGTGGTCGACATCTTTGTTGCTTTTTCATCGATCTTGGAAAGATAAAAGAGGTTATGGTTTTGAGAAATAGAATAAAAAGCGATCGACCTTTGTAGCTCAATTTTGTGGATTGGCTTTTGGCGAGCTGTTCTCATTTCGTCCTCCTTCGGTTCGTTTCATTTGTATTGGAGTCGAGATTGGCTTTTAAGCTTATTTTAGAAGAAACTTGGATTGTGCCACTCAATGAAATGTAAGGAATAACGCTTTTTGTCGCTTTTACTAGTAATTGTTCCTTTTGCTTGCCATGACTATAAATAAAACTAAGCATATTATCACCATATAAAAGTAGGTGTAAGTTAGAATCGAGCACGTCTGATAACCCGCCGGGGACGGTGGCGGATTTATGGGCCGAGACTCGACCATTTGCATCGGAAGGAACACAGCTAAGAATGCGAAGCGACGCACGCAGTGCCCTGTGTCTGCCGTGACAGTTCTAGGTTGAAAAATGAATTGCTTTGGTACAGTTTTTATTTAAAGTGTAAAACGTGAGTGAGGATGATGAAGGCAAAACAACAGCAACAAAATAAATTGTGAACTTTCCCCCATCAAAGTACAGTCAGCCAAATTAACAAACGATGTTAACGTCACTGAATAAACTAGTAACTACAGGGAATGAAGTCCCGAAAAATCCCATCTAGAAGTCAAAACAAAGTTGCTAACACATGTAAATCTCACCAAATTGTCCAAAAGGTCTTTTTTAAACGATCCGTACGAGAGGTATTCGAGTTAATCGGCGTCACAGTGGGGTGATCACAGACCCTGGCGGCCACGCTGTAATTATACTAAAAATGTGGTAGACTTCAATAAAAAGCTGAAACTGTGACGGGCGGCGGTCGAAAACATAATTGTCCATAGTAATGATTGTAGGTAATTGTACGAGGGTTACCCTTAACCCTTCGCTGAAGGAACAACCCTTGGATGCTGGCTAAGATGCGGGCGGCCAGCGGGGACAGACAAGTTAAACAAAATACACTGAAACTTCAAAATGGGGCTTACATTAAATGAGGACGGCAAGTCTACTGCATTTCTGATAACTTTGAGATTGTATTTTACTAAATTGTTTGCGGCAACAAACAAAACAATATTTTTCCCTTATTACCCGCCCCGCTGCCGCTCGTAACATAAAACTAAGTTAATAGGTGCGGTCAGTGCAGGTCCGAATTAAGACAATAATTACTCGCGGTGCTGTCCGCCCAAATTTTCGTTTCGGCTAATACTTTTTATGACGCGACTGTACTATCCTGAATGACGGTGACCCTGTTTACATGCCAATAAAATAGTATCCTGCATTGACAATTCCCACCTCAAATATACTTAAAAATACCGAAGTTATTTTTGAGCAGAAAGAAAATTATTAAATAACCCAATTTATTTTTATGTTCTATTAAAATAATATAGTTATATAAACATTTGCTAGATGTTATGAAATATAAAACAAAAATTATTACAAATTAAAAATAAACTAATAAAAATAAACAATAATGATACAAAAAAATGCCGCGAAAAAATCGAGTTGACGTATTCGAGTGGCATCCATTTTTTATAAGCGCGTTCTTCATGTCAAAATATTTCATTTGTTCTCATTACTTATTCTATATTATTATAAGTATTACAATCGTAATGATGTCTGAAGGTTATTTTTCAGTTTTTTACAACGTTCTGTAAAGAGGCCGAGTTGTAATGGAAGATTATTTACGACAGATCTTCAAGGCTGGTTCAAACAAAACTGACAATATTTACTCAGGCATTATTATACTGATACGTTTTAAGACATCGATGTCAAGGTGTCATTTTAATTAAGTGATTTTTAACCGTATTTTGGTGATAATAAGAAATAATTTCGATCGTATTCACAAGTAAGTTTGTTATGTCGACGATCGTTCATTGTTTAATGAACAAGAATCTCTATGTCGTATTTAGTTAATTGCCTCTATAGACTCGATTTGTCAAAAAAAATCTAGCTTAATTTCGGAAAACTTTGCAAAGCCACAATCATTGAATTATTAAATCACATTTATTTGAGTTTAATTTAAATTATAAATTTGTATAATGTATATCCTGCCTGCTTATCTGCAATAATCGCTTAATTAATGAAAATGACTACGGTAAATCACTCAAAAGTATTAATGATATTTAAATAGTCAACTTAACTAAAGCAGAACACAGTTGGAATTAAAATTCGAGTAAGACAAAGATAGACAATAAAACAAATTGAGGAAAAGTCAAACCCAAAAATAGTGTATAGGTACATAATAAACAAGTGAAGCATAAATGTGTCTACCAACCCACAATACAGGAAAAACCGCCAAACCTGAAAACAGTCTTCAATAAAATCAAAATCATTCCGCACATAACAATCATAAAAACTCGGATCGGAAAACCGTCTCAAGACATATCCAGGGTCATACGGCGTCCGTGATTTCCGTCGCATCTATCTACACGATACGCATCTTCACGCTCGAGCGCCAACGACACCCCACCTGACGGCAGCGCTAACAATTGATATCTTCCGAAGGTCGGGTAATAACATGCTGAGAGCTATCCGACCAACACCCACACACCCACACAAAACACACCTCACCTCTATCGCAACTACACAAAGTCCAAAATCAAACATTTATCACTTTAACCACCTACCAACTTAACCTTGCACTTCGGTGCTGATTTTATGAATAGATCGTCAATTGTCGAACGGAAACGCGAACTAAAATTAGTTTTTAGTATTCTGTTACTAAATAATACGATTGGAACTTCTTTTGATTTACTCGATATCCAGTTTAATTGTTGTTTCAACGTTAGCTATTATATTCGATAATTACGGAAAACCCCGAAATTGTTTAGCTATAAAGCGTTACACGTTATTAATTTTTGTGTTGCCAAGCTAAAATAAGACAATTACGATACACGTGTATCGTTCGCTTGAAAAAAAACTAAACGTCTGATTTCTGACATTCAGAAATGAAGAAGGAATTATATTATTATTATGAGAAATGAACAATGATATAGTAAATAACAGTAACTAGGCCTTCCTATACTGCTGTAGGTGTCATTATAACACGATGCCACAATTTTAAATATTTATTTTATTATTAAAAATGTCTGATAGCGTCACCTGTGTCTTTATCGTTAAAGATTGATCTACATAATAACAGAGTTAGATGCTTTTATTGTGCACACAGATAACACAAGATAATTATATGAAATTATATTCTTTAGAAAATACTGGCGACATTTTTGATGTCGTAATGTTATTATTTTAATGTTGGTAGTTCTGTCCCGAACATTATGAAATTGTCTTGGATTTTTCATTGGAACATGTAACTTCTAATAGCATAACTGATATGAATCATTATATTATCAGGGAAAGAAGTTACACGACTGGAAATATGATTACTCCATTTATTTTTTATTCAACCCATACCTGAATTCACCGAAGGTGCAACCAGAGATACATACATCAAATATGACGCCTACTTTCCGCAAAATTATTTAAGCCCTTTAAAAAAGGACAAAAAACTATTGCGATTCCAGACTCCAGACAGATTCTACTTTATAAATCTGAATAAAAGTAATCAGAATATAAAAACTAACAAACAAATTCTCCATTGTCCCCAGATCGCCCAACTAGTAGATGACGTGCGCCGTCTCCAAGCATCGCTGACAGCGCTGCAAGAAGCCCATGCTCAGCAGCTGCAGCGGCTAGAAGAGAGGCTGGACGAGAAGAAGCAGCACATTGCGAGGCTGGAAGCGAGGCTTGATACACAGAGGGACTATGATGATATCAAGAGAGAAATCAGGTGAGTATCTGTCGTTCTGGTAAACTTCGGAGCCAGGATTCGTTTTCTTTAACTTTTCTTGGTAAACAAAGACATAGATTTGGCTGGACGTAATGCTTAGAAGCAATTGGATACTATCTTTCCGGAAAATGCAGGGGATTGTTAAACAATTTTTGTTAGACCCGCATAATCTCTCCAGAACTCACTAAAGGTGATAAAATACTTTTAGATAGTACAGTTCTATCTTTCAATCTTTCTAAAGTCACTGAGGATTCGTAATTTGGTTACACACATGTAAGAAGGGAAAGACATCTAAGACCACTTGAGACAAAAGTAAAAAGTGATCAATATCAGCCAATCGATCGGTACCAGTTAATTACAAAACAGGGATAAAAGGTAGAGGCTGTATAAAAATGTTAAAGTCCACAATGGAGCACGTGTTAATAAACTTGATAAGACGCGTATCTCGGTCGTTCACCTGCGCACAGATTATATCTGTTAGTTCAACAAGCCTTGAATGTGGTCGACGTACTAGCGGCAAATGATCTTGGCGCTGCTCCTACGAAACATAGCTGCATTTCCTTGTTTACTTTACAACGGGTAAAACTGAGTTACAACTTACATATAAATGAAGAACCGATTATAAGTTCTAAATGTATCAGATGATGACAATTTTTATTTTAAACTCAAAAGTTTCATTTTCCTCATTTAGGTATTCCCAGAAACTGATGACTCTGTTACTGAATGAGTAGTTATACTGTAGCAAAATTTGCTATTCCATGAAAAACAACAGTATTGTGCGGTTAATTCCAGTCTATGCACGCACGCATCCCAGACAGATTGCTACCTCTTTTGCCATTTTTAAGTCCGTATTTGCTTCTAGATTCGAAAAGAATTAGACACTGCCATTTATTTACGAAGCAGCCAATAAAACGAAACGAACGGTTAAATCAATGCGGCATTTTCTACGTAAACATCTTAGAAACAACGTGTACATGAAAGTTTGTTGTCTTATCAAACGTCAGAAAGGATTAACTCTTTCACCATAGAACAAACATTAGAACTAGAAACGGTATGATAATCCGAGTTAACTTAATGTCACTTGGGTACATACATTCAATGTATCATTGTGTGTTTTGACTGCATTCTGTTTGCTTTCCGTACCTTTGACTGATAAGCAGGCGCCTTCAAGTCACACCCTAGCTTTGTTTGATTACTTCGTTAGTCGATTATGATATGGATCTACGTTGTTTAACATATCTCGTACATAGAGCTTTTATATACGCATACTTCCATTATCTATAGAGGCAATGAAGAAAAACAGGTCTGGAACAAATTACATCTCAACGATATTACCGATCGCTTCAGTTGCTTCTAATTGTTCTTGACGGTTTTATAGTTCTCAATCTTCGTAAAACTAAAAACCCATTCGACGTCTGCCACACAACTCGACGTACTCCCCATGCTGCTGTCACCCTTATTGTTTAGACAGCTTGCTCCAACAAGTACCAGTTAATTACCAGGCACCCATCTTAAAGGATCTTTTATGGAGTTGCGAGTATTTAATGTTGTTTTTCAAACAAGGATTGAGTCGTCACTTTGAGATCAGACGCCCGTGGTTTTTGGTGTCTTTTGTGATATCTGAGATACTTCCTCGCGCGGTACTTGTGTAGTGACGAGTAAACACTCACCTCCTGTGACAATGACAGCTCTCTTAAAATTTACATTACCAGCACTTAACGTTTTACGTCTCCCAACAACTTGACCACTTCATGCGACGTACATAAGTAGAGTACTACCAACAAACATGACCATAAACCGAACATGTCCAAATACACCAAAAAGTATGCATCGGTAAAATAAACACGTTTGACAGTAAACAGTATCCACCCATCGGCTCCCAGAGAGTCACCGAGGAGGTCCAAACACATTTTTTTATTCCACCACAAATCGAAAACCACTTGTCCCGTCGAACTTGTGTCCCACCTCGCACACCTACGCTAAACGTTCGAGATAAGGAATTTAGCGGCCTCCCCTAAGTTTACACTATATATTGATACAAAAATCGCTCCCTGAGAACTTTAAAAGGTGACTTTTTTATTTTTCCTGTCGCATCAGTGGGAAATATAAATAGAATTATCGAGGGATGTTAATATTTTGACGCGATACTGGGATGAATGGGAAATTATTTCGGTTCGAAAACAATAGTCGGTCGGCGGATGTTCTTTATTAGTGTGTTAATTGCGAATGATCCGCACAACACACCTTTTAGTCCTGTCCTCATCAACGTTAATGTGTCGAAATTCTCCGATTCTGCATTATTGATATACTTGAAAATACTTCTCATCATTCTATAAGGTCATTTACCTGGCTTTATCTCTTCATTAAAGAATCTGTTGTCCTATCTTTACAGTGTATTCAGAGCTCCATTACCGCTTACATCATTTTTACCCGAATCCATAATCCCCATCGATGGCAGAGTTTCCCACGAGCTAATAATGTAATCAGGCGATCAGTCAACATCCTTCGGAACAATCTATCACCTGCGCCGTTGATAACTGATAGCGTTAATTAGCACTCTCCACAGAGTCTCACATCAGGTGCTTTCATCATTCCAGGATGTGACAGGGTGTCGGGACTTCGGGAAGTTTGTTGATAGCGGGATGCACTTGTATAGATTGGTTTTACTAACAATAATGTGCAAACTAACAGGATATTGGTGAACATGACAAACAAGAGAACTCTGTAGATTAAAGAGTCAAATCTAAAGTTCATTTAGAATCTAAGTAAAATAATTTTGGATGAAAACAATCTTTAATTAGCCTTCACCTTGACTCTGACAGGTTTCGCGATAAAAATATCCGTACCTCTGCTAATTTTCTTTTAAAATCAGTGTCTAAAACAAGAGCACAATAATAAAAGACGAGCCGGCACAATGGCAGCAGCAGCACAAAGGGCCACTCGGTCTATTAATACATCGCAACAACATCCCAAAACCAATGTTTTGATGTGTTTAATGTGTTGCTCCACCAATACGGTGTCATACCGGCGGTGCCTTTGATGCACCGTCAAAGATCACATCACAGGCGCCGACATCGCGACATAAAATCAACACTGTGCAAACACGATAAAAAAGGCGTATTTTAACATTAATAAAATGTCGATCGATTACGGTTTACGACGGGAAATCGGAAATTGGGACGCGACGTTAATTATAATTTACACATCAGCTGACTGCAACGTGAAAATATTTTGTTGTGAATAATGATGTAGATATTTATAGCTGTTTTATTCGGACATCGGAAGGTCAAAGCTAAACACACTGTGCTTTGTGAAGGAAGCAACTTTGAGACACAGAGTAGAAGAAATTAAACTTATAATATAATATCTTCTACCCTCACTAAGCTAGAATCACAATCAAAGCAAAAATACGAAGAAACAGAAATCCGTTGACATCCCAATAACAAAGCACACATAACGGACACATTATCTGTCCACACGACACAATATGATAGAAAAATAAACGGAAACCTCCCATTTCAATTATTGCTACCAGCACGCGAATGGCCGCCATTTGGTATCTTTCCCATGATCGCTTTCCTTTGCCAACAAAAGATAAGTTGTAATCCTATAAGATCTATAATTCCCGATATAAACATAGAAGGCACCTGCACTGGTTTATTGCTTATTTATTCCGGTTCTCAAGCAAGGATTAAGTTATAGCCAGCCCCCGAAGATTAAAGCTTAATGGAGGGAGCAATGGATTGATTTCTGAACGCGGTTCCCGCCAAATCTCCGCTTAACTTGGCTCGGGCGTCATTACGTTCGATTTATTTGTTGTCTATGCTTCTTTGAGGGCTTTTGGCGAGTCCGTGCTTGTTATTAAATTGAATTCTCGATTCTAAAACATTTTCTGGTAAAAATAGAAATCTTTTTAGTGTCTGTTAGATAACACAAATCATTATTAGCTTTATTAGTTTCATTATAATTAAAGAAACTAAAATACGGGCACAATGTTGACACGTCGAAGACGAAATACGAAAAAAAAGTCAAATAAAGAGTGTAGCTGGTTATCTCGTGTTTAATTAACATCTAAGCACACAAGATTTACATAATTTCAAAGAAACATTCTCTTATATTATGTGTCGTATGTTTGTCCCTATATATCAATATGAGAGCCTATCGTAGACACCTGTTCTCATTTGCTTAGGCGATGTTTGTCTTACATTTAACGCAAGTTTAGCCTAACACTGTCGCACACAAATTATCAACTAATTTACGTTGCCCGACGATTTCTGATGCCATAAAGAATGCCCGACGACCCAAAGCTTTTTACTGTGTTTGTTCAACATACGTTTGTAGTTTGGAAGAATCGTCTGACACTGGGAAACTTTGTGTCAATATAACTTTATTTAGACATAGCCAATGGACGTTTCTCGGATTTTCAAGTGTTCGGTTCGTGTACAAAGGCGTTAGTGACCAATCGATCAGTGATTGGTCAACGCTGCGGGGGCGGGGCGACGTTATCGGCGATCGCGGTGATACTGCGCCGTGACGTCACGTTTATTGTCAGACGCATTGATGGGAGCACTCGATATTAGACATTTGAATACAATTGATGTTGTTACGCGCGTACTGACTTTACATAGGCGCCATTTTTCTTTTTCTGATTGTAACGATTTCTTGATAAAGATCCAAAGCTGGCACTTAGTAGGTAGTAAGTGCCAGCTTGTTCGAACAAGATGATCTCGTGAGTTTATTGGTAATGAAACCGCTCAGACCCCATCGACACGGCACAATAAAACAAGGTAAAGAACTCGACAGGAATTCGTAATTCGCTAATCAATATTGAAACATCCCTTTACTGGAGCACCCCTTTGGAAATATGTCTTTGAAATATTCCTTTTGAAGGGTTGAGCAGTGCAGGGACGATCAATCGACATTTTGTCACAGATTTTGAAATATGATAGTCATTCGCGGGTTATTTGTCTCACGGTGTGTTGCGGAAAATTGTTGCGAACAATAAGTACTGATGGATTTTCTTTTCAAAGATTTCTTTAATGTGCCAAGAAGTATTTAAAGTTAACCTATTTTATAAATAGTGTTTACAAAGCATATGTTGAGTAAATATATTCTATGTCATACCTTTGCTAAAAGAAAACTCCGAACATGTTAGTAGTAAACCAAATAGAGTAGGTTCCATTAAAAAAGTTAGTTTCACAACCACTAAACAAGCTGATTCTAAAATCAAAGTTAACCCTAACGACACCGATAGCAGAATATTTAAGGCCTAAACACACAATGTTTTAAAAGTTAACCCACTAATTAATTCAAAGTTAGGTAAGCGCACATCGGTTACATTGGGCGCATCAAATATTCAATGTGAACACGCCTTATACTGAAGGCTTTTGGTCGAAGACAAAGATGCTTTTAAGCTTTCATTTAGGATAGGGGGAAGGTGTTGAGTAGCTGCGACACATTTAGGGCATAAACTTTGTTTAAAAGCAGGTAACACTAGAAGATATTGTTCGAAAACACTGGATCAAAAGCCAAGTACCTAATTAAAATTGCACATAATTTAAAATAAAAACTATTTAAGTATTGACGACACGAAAAAAAAACAATAGCATTCTCCTTTCAAAATATAGAATGTCATTTCTCGAATTCTATATTCCAAATTCAAATGAGTGACAAGAGAGCATAGACATAAAAAAGATAAAACCTTAACACCCGACGCCACTCTAACACACTAAGCTAGGATGTCGTCACTTCCCAACTGTGTCATCGCTGTTTATAATGTATCAGTTTTAAAACCCTCGTAAACATTAGCCGTCTTCCTTGGTAGTTACATTTTGTGGGAGTTTCCGAACTTCCATGTTATGTACGGACATTTTGCTACACTTACTTTAGCTGTATGAGCGAATATTTCTTACTTTTTTACCTTCATATGGAAAGAAAAACATTTTAAAAATGACAGCAGCATTTAATTTTAAAGCAAAATCACCAATATTCCTACTCAAATGCATTCAGTATTAAACCGTTTAGATACAGTACAGACGAGTGGAGCCAAGTGTCACCAATAGTTTATCTGTATTCCCTTTGAGAATACCTACTTCAACGAACGCGACTAAGCTTTAAACAATACACGCTTGCATTGCCAATTATTTAGGTAGGGGTTTAAATCGATTTAGGTGACAAAAATGATGGTAAACTATATAAAAAACTTAAACAAATAATGAAAGTAAATAATAAAAGATATTTTTATATTCCCTATGCATGTCATAGAACCTTAAATTCAGTACTTATTGCTACAAAACTGTATCATTACGACAGGAACATGACGCCATCTTTGAAAAATCTGAACTGCAATTTCTTGTAAGCGCATCGTAGTCACGATTCCGAAGTTAGTTGTAATATCTTACTGTACTAGTTAGCTTTATTGGGGAACTTTGTTAATATTCTTTTAGTTTTAATTGTCATTTTTAAGGGTGAAAAGGACAGCGAACAATGTGGATAGAGAGTGTGAGAAAGGGACTTTGAAAGTGGTCTACAAATCGACAATTCTGAACTTCTATCATCTATACTTCATAGCTATAGCAAATCTATATTAAAGAGAATCCTAAAATACTCCTAAATAACTAAGGAATTATAAGCACAACCTAGTATTAAACAAAGTAAACATCACTATAAATTGAGACGGCAACGGAATTGCTTCTAACCAAAATCGTACACACACAGGGAAGTTCCCAACACCTCCGAGATTCGGCACTACCGATCAACGATTTAATTGGCGATATATTAAATTGTAATTAAGGTGCAACCCTATTGTGCTGGAGTTACTACCGAGGAGTTGCCCAACTGGTTCGCCAACCGATCGATCGACTGAAATCGTTCTACTAAGTTTAGCAACCAGTGGTTAGATTAGAACTGAAAATTCGGTGCAGTTGCGCGATTCGTCGCCAGTTCAATCGTATGCCGTAATTTACCTTAACAATATGTTGTTGATAGTTTTATTGGTACCTGCCTAACTCTGTTTCAATATCTTTGGGTGGTACCTAACGAAAAATAGAACAACAATTGGGATGATGACAGGGTATGAAAATTAAACATTCAAATTGGTCCGTCAGTTAGGTAATGAAAAAATATTAGACACGTATTTTTTTATTTTGTCGTATAATAAAACAATACTTAGATGAAACGAATCAAAGTTTAGGAGTGGGGGCTAAAACGTCATTTCTACGTATAAACTGTACATAGAAGTGACGTCATGCGACATTTCAAATCAATATATCGTCAAAAGTATACGTTTGTGTAAGAAAATAAAAAATACGTGTTAAATGATTTAAAATAATGTACCGGACGGACATTAAAATAAAAATTAGGCACCTAGGTATTGCAAGCAATATTGAAAAGCTTGAAATGAACATCATCATTGTTTAATATATTTCCTCCTTCCTAGTGAATATTCCATCGAAAGTAATTACATACATATATGTATGTTAAAATTATCTAATTATCGTGATAGCAACCGTCAATTAATGTATCGCAACCAACGTACGCAATTGTATTGTTCATGTTCTTACTAAGCAAACAGGTACTTTAACAATAAACAATTGACGTCATTCATTAAAGTATTATGTTAAAAAGTGACAAAAGGTCCATCCTACGTAAGTAGTTCGAATATACAACAAATAAACAATCTTGCTCGATATACAACACGTGGAAGTTATTACACGGTTAAACATGGACAATAAGGAATGATGTAATGGCAATGTAATTTTTCACCTTTTACTAATAAAGTAATGAAATATAATATGAGTGCATCATAAACCAAGCCTAAAGGCAGGCAACCACACAGCTTCCTACAATGTACATAAAATAATACCAATAAATGAACGGCACAGGTACGGAGGGCCTTATCTCCTAATAGCCGTAAGATACCGTTCAAAGCGGCCCAATCTCAATAAATTTATTAAAGGAATATTGCCAATAGAGACCCAGCACATCCTATTAATTAAAATACTTAATTAATTCACCTGGAAATTGTTTAATCAATTCACTTTTGACCCAATTTATTGGGGTAAATCGAACTGTGACCCGACGTCTTGTGATAATTAAAAGCTTTATATTACAATCGCGTAATCTATAGGATTGTGTTTTAATTATGATTACGGTGTGCCGGTACCCGGGTAAGGTGAGAAGGGAGCACTCATGTCGACTCTTAATTGTTTTCGTAATTTGTATGAGTAAATCTGCTTTGCGAAAATTCACTCTTTTCTCTGCTTTCGTGACTTGTTCTAATGATGTAGTTGTGTTCAGTATAGCTAACAGTTTATTTTCCTTGTTCCAGCATGCTCCGAGCCCTCGACCTGGGTGGTGGGGAGCGGTCTCTAGACCGCAAGCCTGAGCTCCGCTCGCCGAGCACTGCGCCCTCGCTGCGGGACCACTCGGCCGAGCGAGAACGGAGCGCCGAGCGCCGGGACACAGGTACGTCACTAGCATTGAGCCACGAGTATGTTGACTGGACAAAGGCAACTACAACTACCACTATACAGTCAAAGCTAGGGTTGCCAACCGCTCCATTCAGTTTAGTCGAGTTTCGATTTATTAACTCCGTGCATTCAGCCCGAATGATGGCATCACAACTTTTGGAGAGACGTCGCTTCGCACTGAATGCTCGGTATCATCGTCGTCAAAGAACATTGGAAGTCGATCGCGGCAATGCACGTTCGATGTTTCAAACCTTGTGTATGTCCGTAGCTAGTTCGTGTTCGCTTCACTTTTCTGTCCGCTAAAAAAAACAACAATTCGCAAAAAAACGCGCGGAGTACGAGGAATATCCAGTTCCCACCACCTCAGCCATGCCGCTCACGGACGCGCGTAATCGTTTCAAACTTAGGCTTTAGAATTCGGAGCATGCCATGATGCCGACATGAGAGACGCCGCGCGCGCATTAAAGATTCGTACGCCGTTGCCGAATGATTGCGACGCTTACGAGCGTGCGTGCTAGCCCTGCCCTGCCCCGCCCCGCCCCACCCCCGTCCCGTCCTCGTGTTCCCGCGTAACCGTGCTCTCACCGCAGGTGTGGAGGAGTGGCCCAGCACGCCGCCGCCGCTCAACAACAACACCACGCACCACAACAACAACGGGCCCACGCCGCTGCCGCTGCCACCGCCGAGCCCCTTCCGCTTCGAGGAGCACCGCACCTACAGGTTCGCTGAGGACATGGGTCCGCTCCCACCCGGAGCTCTCGTGGGAAGACTCGGCGACTCCCTCATCCCCAAAGGCGACCCTATGGAGGCGCGACTACAAGAGATGCTCAGATACAACATCGACAAATACGCCAACACTAACTTGGACACGCTGCACATAAGCCGGAGAGTGCGAGAGCTGCTGTCAGTCCATAACATTGGCCAGAGACTTTTTGCCAAGTACGTCTTGGGGCTGTCGCAAGGCACAGTGTCAGAACTGCTGTCGAAGCCGAAGCCCTGGGACAAGCTGACGGAGAAGGGCCGCGACTCGTACAGGAAGATGCACGCGTGGGCTTGCGATGAGGCTGCCATCATGCTGCTCAAGTCACTGATCCCTAAAAAAGGTATTTTCTCTACACATTCATTCACGTCTGATTAGATATTATTGCGGAATTTACGTTAAGTGTTGCGTTATAACACATATTGTGTAAATGGTTAAATATTTTTTGTCGTGCGAATATTCCCAATTAATGTGAATACCATTGTACATTTTCCACTTGATTTCCAAATATGCTACACTGGTGTTCACAGTTTCGCATTTAAGCTCTGAACGTACCAAAATGTTACTAAACTTATCAGACGACGCATAATTGTAACAAAACGATGTAATCATGTTTGGTACGTCGCTGGGCTACGATCATCAATTCCTTTAACACGAATCATCTGAACGGTTTGACGCGTCGGTTATCTTAGCTTGTCAAGTTTACCTGACAATACAAGCCATCAATCACAGCACCACTCGCCTACGAATACAAAAGATGTTTACATTTTCCGCGTCAATCACTTTACACGCGAATATTGATCAATCTTTACAAATTACGGTCAATCAACGCGTATATGCTAGGAAAATTCGATGTTTGACAATTTAGAACGCACTCGAAGCTTCTTCATATAGTTCCGCACTATTTTTGTTTTTATTTTCTTTTACACTTTTATTTTATTTTTGTTTTGTTCCTTTTTCACCTGTCCACGTTCCTCTTCCTTTATCCTTGTATCCTGTCGCGTGCGGAGTATCAGGTACTGCCAACGTGGAGGAAGCGAGGGGCAAGTAAACATCTCCTCTGTTTTAATCGCAGTTTATTGTTTTTGTCTAAATACCAACGTTCATATACATTGTACTAGCAATCGACCCAAGAATATATGTATCTTTTTCTTAACCATGTCATACAGGAGTTAACGAAATAAGAGAAATAATTGTCCAAATACATAAAGATTACTGATTCTACAAGATAATTTGAAGTTAGGAGCAAGTTATCTCAAAATACGAGTCCATTTGTAACATAAATGTGTATGGAAATGGAAAAGCGGAGCGGACACGCACTCGGTGCTAACTACGAACTTGCCGCAAAGCGATAGCGTTCACATTCAGTTACATAGCATAGCAACTGCAACTGTCACTCGGCTGCTTTGTATAGTTGCATGGCACAACTTTAACAAGTATATGTACACTCTGAATTTACACAGTTTAACATATACCAACTAACGTTGTTTAGACACCTACGATAACGAACTTAACAAATATAGTTTACTTATTAGAAATATTAACACTAGCCATTAGAATAATTTGAGAATCAATATTGAGCTTTCGATTAGTTTCATACATTTAAGTATTGATATTTCTATCAATTGCTATCCAAATATTTTTCTGGTCTACACGTAATATGAGCACGATACGAAATTCGGCGGAATTAAAAAGAATGTCCTCATTGTAAGGCTGTGTACACATTAACGACAATGCACGACAAAGTATAAATCTGCGAATACAATGGACTCTTGTGTATTAGCCTTTGTCCCCATCGATAGGGATGAGCTCAAATAGATTGAATTTCAGATAATTCCCGGAAGGGTTACGGTTTTCTTATTTCGCTGCGATGTTGTGCGGTTTTCGTTTTCTATTCTGGTTACTGCTGATTGGTGTTTTGGCCACGTTTATGGGGTTATTATGCAAGGAAGACGGATGCATTTCCCCTTTTTAGCGGATTTCGTTTGTCCGCGGAAATTTTAATCGCCGTAATTCGTCGAAACGAAAACAATGGTCCGGGGTCTCTTTGATATCTTTCTGTTCTCTTTGTATTGATGTTTTATGAGAGTTTGGATCGAGACGAGTGGTAGGTGGTAATGACAGCTCATTCGTCACGCTACATACGTAATCGATCCAAGCAGCTATCGTGGGAAGCAATTACTTCCGATTGCGGATACTTTTCCAAGATTCAATCAGACGATACTTAGGCCGGAGTCGGGTTGTAGATACTGATTGTTGGTCTTGTTTAAGAAATATTTTCTCATAGTACATTTCTTATACGTTGCAATTGCAAGTCTGTAAAGGTCGTTCGCAACTAAACTTAACCTTGGTTCTCAGCTGAAACAAAGCTACCCAAGTTTAGTGCAGCAGCCAGCTGTTGCTACCGGTCCTGGAAGCGCAACAGAATCGTAAAGTAACGTACAATAACGTCAATACTGTTACATAAGTACAAGCAGCAACGTATCATTTCGCCGCAACGTTATGGGTGTCGGCTATTTCCCAGTTCCCACGATACACATGCATAATGTCCGTTCGTCCATTCGTTGCGAAACGATTGTTGTTCGAGGTTCACACGCGACAACATGACTGTTGCGCCAATGTAGGCTGTAGTCTGCGTTCAAAATAAGAATGAGACATAGCCGCCATTTTGTGACGGTTGAACTGTCAAATTTGAATTTGACAGAACGATGAATTTCCTTTTTCTAGACTTTTTGCTACTCTTCCAACTGAAAGTTGTCTATAAATTAATTTTCTGTTTAATAAATTGCACAAACGCACCGTAACTAAGGCGGGTCAATTAAAATTGACTGCGCTAACCTTCTGCCCTCCAATATACTGCCTACGGGTAATTTATTCAACTTGTACTTCTACACGTACATACTCTATCATCGACAGTTTTTGCATTAGTCTATAGTTTATGGCGTAATAACATTACTTAGGCAAGTTTTAATTATTATTATTTATTTTTATTGTTCGTTAACATGTAGTAGTAAGTAATCAACGGTTTTTCCGCCTTATTTTTTACTTTAATGTAATAGAGTACGTGTAAGTGCATTATCTAGATCGGACATAAATTACGTAATAATAGTTAGGTACATCGAATGGTTGGTTACAAGTCCAGCCACATTTCTCTTAACCAATTAATTGTGGAAGCTAACAAAAGTTTAGCATGTACCGAGCTACACGATTACACGGTCTAATTACAAGTAAATAGTTATGTACAAATTTTACGGTATTAGGCAAGGCCTGTCGTGACTGAATTCTATTTCCAAAGATGCGCACAGACTATAAATCGGCAGAGTATCGCAGTACAGCGGTAGCCGACGAGACAATAGTATTATATTATGTTTCACGGACACTAAACTTCGATGTAAGTTGGCTGCCGTTCTTTATTCATACAATCCTTCATTCCAATTAAGTTTAATAATGGTGGTCGTAATTATTGCACTTATTACTCGTACGGTTCAGTGACGAAATGCTATAACGTAGCCGTCTTGTTGTTTATGATCAGTAAAATCGAAGAGCCTATCGGTAAAGATGAGCATCGCACTCGGAACTCATGTATTCTGTGTAGGTAGTAAATCACCAGCATGCTCTTTTCCACGCGATCAATTCAACGCATCTTGCGTACAGAGTTTTCTTTAAACTAGAAGTATTATATTAAACTAGAAATATATTTTCTTACAGAAACGTTTATTTGTGACACTTTCAAATGAATGCTTTAAAGCTTCAACATTTTAAAATGTTCAAAGTTGTCCAAGTAATTTTATTTAATCTGATCTTTGGCGTTAAATAAAAAGTGAATTCAAAAGTCTAATGTCTTTATTAAAATTAGCGACGCCTAGATATAAATGTCTGGCATCTATAAAGGCGTTTCTAAATAGAGCTTAACTTAAATGTTGGGATGTACGCAGAGCGAGATCCCAATATTTGTACGAAGTTCGCCTCTCAAAAGCACTTCAAGCGTAGCGTGAAAATCTATTTTCAATGGCCACTATCGGCCAGCACAGGACACCCGCCAAAGGCTTTATGCCCGAAGTTAAGCGTCCTCGATGCTCCTATACTGTAAACTCCCCTTGTCGACCTCTTAGTTTAACGCTAAGCAAATTTTAATATTCAATTGTGCTTTTGCATGCTCGGGATTTGTTTTACAATAGGTGCTTCACACTTCAAGTTTTCAAACTGTATTGTGGGTGAATCTAAATATTACAGTGAATTACCTTCTAATTATGGTTAGAAAACAAACATTACACGTGTTCCAATTAATATTTAAGTGCACATATCTACATTCTCTGAAATCTTAGCAATGTTCTTACTCACTTTACGCAGTTCATAAAGCAATTTGTTAAGTAACGTCGCCTCACATCTTGTTCAATAAAGATTAAAGTTGAAATGTAAACTTTCCTTTCACACAAACGCATCGCTAATAAGTTATCGATGCGGCGGTCACGTGAGGCAGGCCGGACTGTCCGTGCGGGGGACTGTCAAAGGCGTTTAAAGCTGAACGGAGTTGGGAACTCCGCAAGTGTATTAGCCGGACGGCTAATGCGCGCGGACAGCGCAACCAACGCGAACTGACGCCGCGCGCCGTCTTCACTCACTACAAGTCCACGATATATTTGAATGCGTTCTATTTTCAATTATATTTTATTCGTTCCAAACTTAAAGTTAAATTCTTTTTAAATCGTTGCATTACGTTCGGGAACGCTTTCAAAAAGAAATTGATAATTTAATTCTCCTTATCGTTGTTTGTCATTTTGCCAACATTATTTTGTTTGGAAATTCTTTAATATATTTAAATTTTGATAGGTACGTTGTTAATTCTTAAACACGTCCACAAATAACGAAATACATTAGTCAAAATGTCACAATAATAAACATTTTCCTGTACAAATGATTAATCTATAAAAATAATTTGACTGCAATTGCTGTAAAACATTTTTAGATATTACTGTAAACAATTAGTTATATGACGACTACATTATGCTAAGTTTGAGAAGTTAACACTAAGCAAAAACTATTCGTAAACTAATTGCCAAAACTATCGGGGAGGATAGGTAAATAGATTCCCGTAAAATATTCGAATAAACACCCAAACGAGGGTGTATCAGAAAAGGAAACTAACAAACGAGACCATAACACATAAATCATAAACTTTGAATCACGAAAATTCGTGTTGATAATCACATAATAATTACCGACCCGATAACACCCGCCGGGATCGAAGGGATCGAAAGGGATTAGCTAGTAACGAGAATAAAATTGGCGACATATTTGTTCATTAACACCAATTCCAAAAGTAATTTCAAACGAACCAACTTT